TTCAGCAGCCCCCTCACACACTGTCTTTGTCTTCTCAGCTACAACCTGCACTTTACAGAGACCTTGTGGGGACCATGTGACTAACTTTGGAGTTTGTTACCTAAGGTATTTCTAATAACAGACATGTCAGACCTTTTAGGAAGGCAGGATGGGAATGAAGCAGACCACTGGGCAAAGCAGTGGAGTAGAGTGTGATGTTGGGAGCCATATTTTGTCAGAAGTACACACAAAATCAGAAATCACAAGACTGGAATGTCCATCCCTCATCACTGCTCAACTCTGAACTATTATTTCCTCTTCATTAAAATGGGCACAACATGGAGCCAGTAGGTGGCATAGAGGTTAGGGTGCTACCCTCCCACATGGTTGACTGCGGTTCAAGTCCTGGACCCAGTAGCTTGAAACTCGCACTGGGTGTGTGTGTGTGTGTGTGTGCCCAAAATCCCGAGAGGAGAATGGAGGAGAGGGGATTGCGTTGTGGCCACTCACCCTAAGGGGTAATGTCTTCCTTTCCATCTCTCTGTCTCTCTGGTGAGTGCATGTGCCCTAAGCAAAAATATCTGTTCCCCAAAAAATGGGCACAATAACTTCACAAACTACACCCTCCATAATTGCTGTTGATATGCTCAAGCCCATGCCCCAAATCCCTTCCATAAATAACCTTAGACAGAAGAACGGGGAAAGGGGAAGAGAACTAACTCCCTTTTGGACTCACTCACTGACACTGGGAGTTTTGCATTTTGAATAGAGGAGGGAAACGTTCTGATAAGCTTTCAGAAGCTTTTTCATTTGTGGATAAGAATAAAGAGTCAGCAGAAAGGGATTTAGTTAATGACAAATTTCGAGAATGCTAGATCCCACTAACACTTATCAGGTATGGGTCAAAAAGTAGTTAGAAACGTGAGAGTCAATTAAAAACCCATTGTACCTTATCAAAAAAGAATCTGTAGTGCTTGTCTGTGGGCTCAGCTGTGATCATTGAGCTGAAAAGAAAGCTGAGGCCGCTCCTTCCTTTCCTCAAAAGGCACACGCAGCAGACTGCACAATTCCGCAATAATGCCGCTTAGCCCCAGAACAAGCGCGGTGATTGGGCATTTGGAATTTGCTTAGCCCCAGGACAAGCACGGTGATTGGGCATTTGGAATTTGCTTAGCCCCAGGACAAGCGAGGTGATTGGGCATTTGGAATTTGCTTAGCCCCAGGACAAGCGCGGTGATTGGGCATTTGGAATTTGCTTAGCTTGCCACCATGGAGCCTCCCTGCGCTTTGGGAGTTGAGGTATGGATCGCAAGAAACCAACAGGACCAAGAGGACCAATGAAGGAACAGCTGCCATTTTACCCTTTTCTGATTTATGAGACCCAACTTGTGTCAGGAAGTGTGTGGAGAGATCTGCAGGAGGAGTCAGAAAGAGAGGAATGGATGGAAATCCCTCCAAGGAAGCGATATGGAGCTACCTGCTGTTAAATTACGTCTTCATATTTCTATTCGCTTCGCTTTCAAGACGCCATGTGGCCCTTAGTTTTCATGTTTAGAAAATCATGCTGAATCACCAAATGATTTTTACCTTCCTTCCAGCCCTCAGACTAGCAACTCTTCTTGTTTTGAAACATTCCAAAAGGAAGGCTGGAGGTTATAGATGAGGATAAATTTTAGCCAGTAGTAGCCGAGAGCTAGAGTCTTCAAAGTTACAAATGGATCATTGAGAGGCTGATGAACCTATGGACATTTTCTTCCAAATAATACGTAAATGCACATACATAGGGAATTGTACATATGATTTCAGGTGGCCTCTGAGTTCATAGGATCTTGACCAACAGGAAGAGAAGTGACTTGCTGGATGTCACACACTGGTTAAAGATAGAATCTCCCCACATCTCCTGTCTCCAATGTGGTATATTTCATTTTCTCATATTCCACACGCTGAAGAAACAGACTTTCCTAGTGAACCAACCAACTGTAAGCTGTATGAGGCCAAGTCATAGCCATCAACCTCATACCTAAGTGTCCAATAAGGAACTTATTCCCTCCCTGGTGGAGAAGAGTAAAAAATGAACAAAACCAAAAAACATATTAGGAATTATTATCAACAGTTTTGTTTATAATAATGCATTTTATGCTTTCAACATTTGGCACACTTGAATTCTTATTCTACTTGTTTTAAAACAAATCATTTTTATATGCCTAACCACAAAGAAACACCTAGGGGATGCATTCATAGGTGCATTAACTTTAAAAATATCACAAACTCATATTTTAATAGTAATGTTGGTGATAATGTCCGTTTTTCTAAATCCCATTTTTCTTCCATTAACGTGCTTAATTATTTACAAAACACCTTTATTTGGATTTTTCTAACTCACACAAATGAAATTCAAATCTTGTATTTCAAAGGAGTTGCAGAGTAGCCTCTGTGGTATGTAGAATTACTAAATCAGTTTACAATAAATTTTAATTTGTGTGATATATAGACATAATAAGTATGTGTTCTCCTATAATTATTAAATGCAATTAGCCTATTACTCTTTGATTTCTATACATTTTCTAAGCCTTTTCCTATTTTTTTAAAAGTATTTTTCTGTCTTTTTTTACTTCACACCCCAGCCAACTCAGTGTCAAGGCCTTCTTGTAATTACTGGTGAATTTCTCTTAGCTTTTACTTCATTTCCTTCCTTTCTTCTTCTTTTTTTTTTTCCCTGCCTTTTTCTTACTCTGGCCTCTTTACATTCTCAGAGTCTACAGATGTCAGTAAACCATGGCAGCTGATTATCAGAGCACAGAACTCCCTATACTTCTTCCTTTGACCACCTCCCCCAACAGCATAGTTGTCTCACTCAACCCATCCCACTCCCTCTTCACTAGGTTTCTCCTCTCATCTGTTCATAAGGTTTCTTTAGAAATCATTGTAGATAGGGAACAGTGGATGGTGTAATGGCTAAGTTGCTAGACTCCCATGTAGTCAACCATGGTTCAAGTCCTGGACCCAGCAGCTTAAAACTCATGCTGGCTGTGTGTGTGTGCATGCCAAAAATCCCAAGAAGAGAATGGAGAACAGATTGTGGCATGGCCATCCCCCCTGGGGGTGATTTCTCTCTCTCTCTCTCTCTCTGTCTTTCTGGTGAGCACATATGCCCTATAGCGAAAGTATGAAAGTATCTCTCTTTAAAAAAAAGTCAGTAAAGTTGTAGTTTATCTTGAGTGTAGTCTTGATATGATGGGCAGGCAGAACATTTTCTTTTCTGTCACAATAAAGCCAAAACAAAGGGCATGTGTTTGGAACTCAGTGAATTAGATGTTCTCTTCCAGTCCTTTGAATCTTGAGCAAGGGACACAAAGATGAAAGAATTGGATGCTGTTAGTGGTTGCACCTGAACCTGACCCTTTCTGCTGGAAGACAGTGGCTAAGACTCCTGCTTTCCAGGCCTCAGGGTTTCCCATTAATCCAGAGAGCATCCCCCTCAGCCACCTACCCACCAATCCTGCCAGTCAGTTCTTTCACTTAAGTCAGTTCAAGAAGTTTCGAAGAACCCTACTGATTCACGGAGAAACCCAAAGGGTAAGCAAAAGCAGACCATTCCACTGCTTCTGTGGTTCCACTGCCTTGATCACACCTTCAGAAGGTACTTAACTGCTTCTCCTCTACTAGCTATTTCAGGAGGTCGCTTTGTCTACAGAAGAAAGAGTCCTTGAACCAGAAGCTGAGACATCTGGATACTGGCCCTGGCTGTGCCAATAGCTGCTCCGAGTCTGAATGCTCTTCATTCCCTCCATGTAGTAAGAGCAGTGCCAACTTGTGCGTACTGAGCACTTACTGTGTGCCAGGCACTGCCGTAAGTACCTCATATGCAGTCGCCAACTCCTTACAGCCATCTAATGAAGAAACTGTGGTTGTCTGCACTTTTCAGATGGAAAACTGAGACAGAGATGAAACATCTTGTTCAGAGTCACACAGTATAGATGCAGCTTGAGTCCAGAAAATCTGGCTCACGGATATGAGCTCTTAGCCTCTACTGTGCTGGGCACCACTGTGCACACCCTTCTGGTGTCCTTTTCTCCAAGTTGTGGTGGAACTACCTGGATACAAGCATTTGGCTGGAAGAGATGGATAGTCTACTTGCAAGATCACCGGAACCCAGTGTCATGGGTCCAAGACAACTCCACAGATGATCATGGAAGCGTTAGCTTTATCTGAAAGGCCTTGGTCCCTCCCTTCAGCTCCAGAAACCTGTCGCTTTGGAGTCATCCTTTAGAAGGGATCTAATTATGATAGAGAAATGCTTTCTGCTTACCATATCAGTGACTGTCACCTTAACTATCTGTACTCATTCCTATTGCTACTATCACAAATTACTACAAATTTAGTGACTTAAAACAACACAAATTATTCTCTTTCAATTCTGGAGCCAAGAAGGCTGAAATGGTCCCTTCTTTCAAGTTCAAATTCAATAAACTGTGACACTCTGCTTTGGTCATTATATTTTCTTCTCTCTCTCTCTCTTTTTTTTTTTTTTAAGAGAGTTTATGCTGTAGGGGGCATGGGCTCACCAGAGAGACAGAGATAGACAGAAAGTGAGAAATTGCCCTCCGGGGAGGAGGGCCATGCCACAATTCCTTTTCCTCCATTCTTGTCTCAGAATTTTGAGCATACATGCACACACGTCTGGTGTAAGTTTCAAGCCACCGGGTCCAGGACTTGAACCATGATCAGTCATGTGGGAGTCCAGCACCTTAACCACTATGCTAACTGCTGGTCACTCACTGATTCTTCTAAGGAATCTTGTTATTATAATATGTCTGGAATCCAACTGGGTAATTCAGGATCTCAGTTAAGAATCTCAGAGTCCTTAAGTTAATCATGTCTATAGGGTGTCTTTTACCATGTAAGGCCACATATTCACAAATTCCATAGATTTAGAACTGGAAACTTTTGGAGATCTATTAACCTGTCTACCACACTGTTAAATATACACTAGCTAAACCTGCCAGCACAATGGAAAATAATTTAGATATCTAAATTGAGAAATAATAAGGGGAGTTCCATACTTCTTGGAATATTCCAAGTGAATATGTAATGTAATGTATACACACACATATGTATATATGTGTATGTATATATGCATATGCGGGGGTATATATATGCATATATGTATGGGTGTGTGTGTGTGTGTGTGTATGTACATGTATTTTCCCCATTTCTCCCTTCTTTTGGGATTTTGGGCATGAACGTATATGTGCCCAGAGTGTTTTTCAGGTCACCAGTTCTGGGATTCGAACTGCGTGGTCGGTCTTGTGAGATCTAGCTGCTTTAACCACTATGCCACCAGCTGGCCCATAAATATTTCTTAGAGTGTAATCCTCCCTCTGAATGTGCCAGATAAATGGAAGCAGACAGAAAAGGAGAAAAAAATCACAAGGTGGAAGTATGCTTGATTAAGCTGCCAAAATTTTACAAGCCTTTATTTTTCAATGCTTTCTTCAGTCCACTTTTTATTATTTAAATCCAGAAGATTTTGGCTGTTCAAGTCCAGTGAAGCCTCAAATTTCTGGATTCTAAATTTCTATATTCTCTTCCACTTTAAATCTCAAGTCAGCCAATTCTTGCTTAAATATCTTGTTTAAAGCACCAAGAAAAAGCCAAGACACACGATCGTAAGGCTCTTTCCAGTCACTTCCTTCAATGGACATCCATTCCCTGACTAATCTCTGGCAATTACTTTATTTCTTTGAACTTCCATTTCTTTTTCACGGGGGAAAAAATAACGATTATCTTCCATTTATCCAACAATCTAATCACTAATTTCTCAATGGCACAACAAATAGCTTTTCACCTTTGTCTTAACATCTTCATATCAACACAGAGAAATTGAATGCACCCTCAGTTATATCTCTCAAGTTACAGGGAGACTATAATATCACATTTATTCTACTGAGCAGCATGCTTTGCATATATTATTATGAATGCTCAGTAATGTTAGATCCC